GCTGACTGTGTGCTGAAGATGCCCAGCACATGCTTTCCCTCCTAGCTCTTCGGCTGTGAGAGCAGAGGCCAGACGTTCGTGCACTAATCGCCCTGCCCCCGGGCAGCCGAGAACAAGCTTTGCAGAGGTTGCATTCAAATGGACTTTTAGGTATGAAACCGAGGAGCGACAGCAATGGATGGTGACACCGTTGCAAAGCTGACTGTGTGCTGAAGATTCCCAGCATATGCTTTCCCTCCTGCCTCTTCGGCTCTGGGAGCAGAGGCCAGACGTTCGTGCAACTAATCGCTGCGCCCCTGGGCAGCCGAGAACAAGCTTTGGAGAGGTTACATTCAAATGGAATTTTAGGTATGAAACCGAGGAGCGACAGCAATGATGGTGACACCGTTTCAAAGCTGAGGGTGTGCTGATTATTCTTAGCACCAGCTTTCCCTCCTGGCTCTTCGGCTCTGGGAGCAGAGACCAAACGTTCGTGCCATACTCACTGTGCTGCTGGGAAGCCGAGAGCAAGCTCCGGAGAGGGTGCATTCAAATGCACTTTTAGGAATGAAACCGAGGAGCGACAGCAATGATGGTGACACTGTTGCAAAGCTGACTGTGTGCTGAAGATGCCCAGCACATGCTTTCCCTCCTGGCTCTTCGGCTCTGGGAGCAGAGGCCAGACGTTTGTCCTCTACTCCCTGTGCACTGGGCAGCCGAGAGCCGACTCTGGAGAAGTTGCATTCAAATAGACTTCTAGGTATGAAACCGAGGAGCGACAGCAATGATGGAGGCACCATTGCAAAGCTGACTGTGTGCTGAATATTCTGAGCACCAGCTTTCCCTCCTGGCTCTTCGGCTCTGGGAGCAGAGACCAAACATTCGTGCCATACTCACAGTGCTGCTAGGGAACCGAGAGCAAGCTCCGGAGGGGGTGCATTCAAATGTACTTTTAGTTATGAAATTGAGGAGCGGCAGCAACGATGGTGACACCGTTGCAAAGCTGACTGTGTGCTGAAGATGCCCAGCACATGCTTTATCTCCTGGCTCTTCGACTCGGGGAGCAGAGGCCAGACGTTCGTGCACTAATCGCTGTGCCCCTGGGCAGCCAAGAACAAGCTTTGGAGAGGTTGCATTCAAATGGACTTTTAGGAATGAAACCGAGGAGCGACAGCAAAGATGGTGACACCGTTGCAAAGCTGACTGTATGCTGAATATGCCCAGCACATGCTTTCCCTCCTGGCTCTTCGGCTCTGGGAGCAGAGGCCAGACGTCCGTGCTCTACTCACTGTGCTGGTGGGCAGCCAAGGAACCACCAGAGATGTTGGATTCAAATGAACTTCTAGGGTATGAAAGTGAGGAGCGACAGCAATGATGGAGGCACCGTTGCAAAGCTGACAGTGTGCTGAAGATGCCCAGCACATGCTTTCCTCCTGGCTCTTCGACTCTGGGAGCAGAGGCCAGACGTTCGTGCACTAATCGCTGTGCCCCTGGGCAGCCAAGAACAAGTTTTGCCGAGGTTGCATTCAAATGGACTTTTAGGTATGAAACCGAGAAGCGACAGCAATGATGGTGACACCGTTGCAAAGCTGACTGTGTGCTGAATATGCCCAGCACATGCTTTCCCTCCTGGCTCTTCAGCTGTGGGAGAGAAGGCCAAACGTTCTTGCTCTGCTCACTCTGCAGCGAGTCGGGCTGCATGGACCTGAGGCACGCAGAGCTTGGATTCGAGTGTGACAGTGAGGAGGCGACAGCAATGCAGGTGGCACCATTGCAAAGCTCACTGTGTGCAGAAGAGGCCCAGCACCAGCTTTCCCTCTGACTCTTTGACTGTGGCCCAGAGGCCACCATTTGTGCTCACTCTGCTGTAGGAGGGCAGGAGGTGGGCACCAGAGAAGTTGCATATAATGGACTTTTAGGTGGGAAAGCAAGGAGCGACAACAGTGCGGGTGGCACCGTTGCAAAGCTCACATGTGTGCAGAAGAGGCCCAGCACCAGCTTTCTGTTCTGGCTCTTCGGCTGTGGAAGTAGAGGCCGAAACTTGTGGTCTGTGCACTGTGCTTTTTGACACCTGGGAGCAGGTGCCTTAGTTTTTGCATGCAACTAGAATTTAAATCAGTCATCCGGATGTTGCTGCATTTACCCAATTGATGTTCATTATCTGCAACAAGGAAAAAAAAACAAAACAAAACAAAAAAAACAAAAGCCAGCCACACAAGAAACAATAAAGACAGGAAGAGACAGAAACCACTGTCCTTGCTATCATTCTCACCACGACCACACCAGTCAATGCCTACCTCTTCTGTAACACCCCACTGCCTCAGCTTAAGCTCCGCAAAACAGTGCTCACCTGGTCCAAAATCATTTCTGAATGCTATGCCAGGGTTCTCCTTCCCTGCAGGAACTGAGATTGTGGAGGCAAGTAACCATTGTTCTGGTCAGAAGTGACTTACCCCGCAGTCCTTCTCATGACCTCCCTGACTCACCAAAAATGCTCATCTGACTCCAAAGGCGACTGCACGGCACTTGCAAGAAAGATTAATGCTGAACCCCACTGCCATGTTATACTCAACTGTTAGTCACCAGCCCGGCACAAAACCCCCTTACCTTCTCAAAGCCCTCCCCAGTGTGCAGCTTCACCTCCCCCAAGTTAGATGTGTGTCCTGGGTTCAGCAGTAGCAGTCATTTTTTCTCCTTCTTGGTAGCTGGTGCAGTGCTTTGTTTTGACTTTTGGCCTGGGAACAGAGCTGATAACAATGATGTTTTGGTTTGGCCAAGGACTTTGTGAGCCTCATGCTCTGCCAGGGAGGAGGGAAGCCAGGAGGAAGCAAAGACAGGACACCTGACCCAAACTGACCAAAGAGGTATTCCATACCACAGCACGTCATGCCCAGGATGTAACTGGGAGTGAGCCGGAAGGGCTGGGGGACTGCGGGGTTGGAGGAGGTATCGGTCGGTGCTTGGTCAGGCTGGGGGGGGGGGGGGGGGGCAAGTTATCGGTCAGCTGGTGGTGAGGTGTTGTGTTCTCTTCCCTTGCTATTTCCTTTATCATTGTTATTATTCTTAGTAGCAGTAGTGATTTGTGTTATACCTTAGTTGCTAAACTGTTCTTATCTCAACCCATGGGAGTTGCATTCTTTTCGATTCTCTTCTCTGTCCCTTCGGGAGTACAGGGAGGGCAAGAAGAGGGGGGGGACAGTGAGTGAAGGAGCTCTGCCTGGTTTTAAACCACGACAATGTGGCACCTGAAAAAGAAATAGAAACAGATAGCTGCTGAGACAGGGCTCAAAGCTGAAGCCTTCCCTGTGCGATGCCCATCTCCTGCTTCAGTATATTGGCTGCTCAGCCACCAGGCCTCCCAGATTTCTGCCAGCTGCATCTGGGCCTGTATGTCACCTGGAAAACACCAAGAAAAAATGCCTTCAACTACTTAAAAACATTTCACATACAGCTGCTGCTTCAGCCACGTAGTCACATTAACCAGCAAGACAGGTGAACAGAGTCAGCTCTGTGAAAATGGACACAAAGCTGCAAAGGCAACCTGGAGCCATGCCCCAAAAGACAATTAACCGCAAGACTCTGAGGCACAAGCCTCATCTGTGTTTTAACTTTGTAAAGTGGGAAAATCTCAAGCTGAAGAGTAACCTGCTCCCTTCCCCTGCCCAAAGAGACCAGTTCTTCAACAGCCTCTCTCCCACACTAACCTTACATCTCTTTCCTGCTTCTCCCTAGGCCCAGCCTTTTACCTTTGCTTGCAGAGGGGCAGAGGTCCAGAACCATCCTTGAGAAAAAACCCTTGTCAGCTGACTGGAATGTTCCTTCAGTAGCCACATTCCTCTTCATCATCTGCAAAATAAAACAGGAATAGCAAACAGCTTATCAGTATGTTGACCAATGGCAATCTTTGCCACAACTCTTCCTCCTGAGGACAGCCACAGGGCTCCCCTTAGCTCATCACCACCAACAAATGTAGCACCCAAAAAAACACCCTACAAAAAGATGCTTACTAACGCATGCACTAGTAAGTCTTGACACAGCCTGAAGGTCTTCATTCAGACAAGACCATTTCAGAAAAACGCAGCAGAAATAAACCACAAAGCTCTAAGTCCACAAAAACTAAACACCAGAGGACTTAACCTGATGAGAGCTGAACTCTGAATAGGAAGGGCTGCACCTCATATACCCCAGGCCCCACCCACAACCCCTCAATGGCCTGGGACATTGGAGAGGCAAACCACCAGCTGGCATAAAAGCAGCCTGATAAGCCACAGCTGGGTCTTTCCTATCTGGCTCTGGCTCCCTCTCTGCTCCCTGGCTTTAATTTTCTCACTCTCCTCTGGCTCAGATTCACATTCAGAACTCACAGACCACACATGCTCACTCTCACACAGACTGCCTCAGACTCACACGTGCGTTCAGACACTCCATGGCTGAGACACATGGTGCCCCACTAGGGCTATCAGGTCTATCTGACAAGAGATATCAGGTCTACCAACACTAGGGCATTCAGGCCTAGTTTAGGGCTACCAGGTGTATCCCCCAACTAGGTCCTGAAAGGGGCTATCAGGTCTGCCCGACTAGGGCTATCAAGGCTACCCCGACTTTAAGGTCCTCCCATCTAGGACTATCAGGTCTACCTGTTTAATAAGCTACCTGCTATTTCTAACCCGGTTTTGCCCATTTCTAACCCATTTTAAGACATTTTAGGCCATTTCTAACCCAGTTTTGCCCATTTCTAACCCATTTTAAGCCATCTTTGGCCATTTCTATCCCGGTTTTAGAAATACTTTAACATTTATAACCCAGTTTTGCCATTTTCTAACCCGTCTTAAACCATTTTTTGCCATTTCTAGCCCGACTTTGCCCATTCCTAACCTTTTCCCATTTCTCAGTCGGTATTAGCCATTTTTGGCACTACCTCTCAAGGACCCTCCCACCCCACCCCCCAGCGCTGCCAGCCAGTCACTGCCCTCCTTCCCACCGCCCATTCTCCCCTTATAAGGAAAAAAAAGAGATGTGGCTTCATTCATAAAGTGACTGCCCTTTGGGCACATTTATTGGCTGCTGTCACATGACATCATGGGCTGAGTGGGTGGAGCTGCTGCAGGGCCCACCTCTTCTGATCCACCGCCTCCTGTAGCCTCCCATAGGCTGAGGCCAGCTCCTCCAGCCCCGCCCCCAGCCCTTGATAGGCTGAGAGCACCGCTCGCAGCTCCTGGTCCTGCCTCTCTGCATCTTCCATGGCCAATGAGATTCTTTGCCTGCGGTAATGTCATAGTGGTGTCATAAAGGCGGCAGGGTCATTAAAAAAGGGGAAGGGGGTGTACAGCACTCACTTGATGCATTGATGGGCAGCTACGGTGAGTGGGGGGTAGGAGGCAAGGAGCAGCCCCAGCTCCTCCAGCCTGCAGAGGGGGCAATGGGGTAAGAGGGGACACCCCCAAATCCCACCTTAAGCCCTTTAGAAGTCACCCAACCTCCCCCAATCCCCCCCCCCCAAGTCCCATTATAAACCCCCCCTTAGACCCCCATATCCACCCGTAGAGCAGAGAGGACATATCCTTCACTGACTCTACCCCCTGCAGTACACACAGTAACCCAGTGCCTGTAACCCCCATAGATACTCTTTGAGCCCCATATACCGTATCTTGAGCAGTAGTGCCACCCCTTTGCCCTCCAGGTAGAGCCCGTGCTGCTGGTCCAGCTCCTGCAGGGCTCCAGCACAGCTGGCACTGGCCAAAGCCCCCAGCAAGGCCCAGCACCGGCCCAGCACCTGCACCATAGAGCCCCACTGACACTCCCATAGAGCCCACTAAGCCCCCATAGACCCCCCAATCCCCATTTAAACCTTCACAGGCCCCATTGAGCCCTATAGACCCCATTTAAACCACCATAAACCCATTTAGCCCCCCACAGACCCCCTCCAAACTCCCTTTAATCCCTAGTAGACCCCCTAAACCCCATTTAACTGCCCACAGACCCCATTTAAGCCCCCACTGATGCCATTTAACCCCCCATAAACCCCCAAACCCCATTTAAACCCCCATACTGCTGAGCCCCCAATAGACCCCATTTAACCCCCCATAGACCCCCCCAAATCTCATTTGAGCCCCCCAGACCCTTCCAAACCCCTTTAACCCCCATTGAACTTCTCATAGATCCCCCAAACCCCACTTAACCCCCCATAGACCCCATTTAACCCCCACAGACCCCTCCAAACCCTCTTTCACTCCCACAGACCCCAGCAAGCTTCTCATAGACCCCACAAACCCCCAGAGATCCCATTTAACCCCCATGAACCTAATTTAACCCCTCCCAAACCCCACTGAACCCCCACCGACCTCATTTAACCTCATTTACTACCATAGACCCCATTTACCCCCATTACAGACCCCACAGAACCCCCCTATTCCCCCCCTCCTGTTCAACCTCTTGGTAGCGCCTGCGCTGGCTCTGCAACGCCCCCTGCAGGTGCTGGCGTCGCCACCGGGCGCGCTGCAGCCGCTGCGCCTCCTCCCTTAGGGCCGCACCAAGGCGCAGCACCGCACGGGGGAGATCCCGCTCCTCAGCCAATGTCGGCGCCGGCTCCGCCAATGGCAGCTCCGGCGCTGCCTCCCCCGCGTGGTAAATGGAGAGGTCCAGGACCTTGGCAGCCAGGCGGAGTTCCAGCAGGGAAAGCAGGGGGGCAGGGGATGCCTACGGACAATAAAGGGGGCCATGGCGTGCAATGGGGTGAAATTGGGGGGGTAAACGGGATTTTGAGGTGATCTGGGACAGTTATGGGTCATTTGGGGCTCTCACCTCCATTGGGGGCAGTGCCTGGGCCATGCCCTGCACCCCACAGCGCAGCTCCAGTTCCCGGCGGGTCTGCAAATCACCCAAATTACCCCAAAATCATCCCAAAGCCCCCTAATCCACACCAATTCACCCCAAAACCCCCTTTAGGCACCCCCCATGTGTATGTGGGTGCCCCCATATCCCTCATTGCCCCCCATGTGTGGATCACCCCCTGGCTCACGGGGGGCTCGAGCCCGCGTGGGTCCCACAGCAGCTCCTGCAGCGCCCTCCAGAGCCCGTCCCAGTGCAGCCACGTCCTTCTGTGAAGCGCCAGCGTCGCCTTCGCCTGCAGGGGGCGCACCGGTACCTGAAACACCCCGAAACAGCCCCGAAATACCCCAAAACCACCCCAAAATAGTCCCAAAATAGTCCAAATTTGGACCAAAATGGCCTGAAATAGCCCAAAATTGGACCAAAATAGACTAAAAATGGCCCAAAGTAGACCAATAGTACAAAATACCCCTAAATCACCCCAAAACCATCCCAAAACCGCTATCAACCCCGCTCTTATCACCCCCAAACCCCCCAAATAAACTAAATCACGCCAAAAATGACCCTATATGAACCCAAACTGACCAAAGCTCCCCCTAAAGCACTCCTAAATCACTCTAACCCTCCCCAAAACCCACCCCCCTCAAATCCCCGGATGAGGTAAAATCCAAAATGACTCTAAATCACCCCAAATGACCCAAAAATCACTCAAAAATCTCCCCAAAACCCACTGAACCCCCCCTCAACTCCCCCAAAATACCCCAAACTGACACCACCTATCCCCCGTTACCTGCCGCAGCTCCTCCCGCAGGCCCGCAGTGAGCCCGTCCGGCCCCAGCGCCACACACAGCCCCTGCAGCGAGGCCAAACCAAGTCCCTCGTCGGGGGTGTGGAGCCCGAAGAGGGGCAGGTGGGGCTCCTCCTCCCCTATTGGGAGGCGTTAAGTAATTAATACCCTCATTAACGCTTATTAATGGCTATTCATGGGTATTAATAGTACGCAGTGTACCTGGCAGCAGCTCAGCAGCGTCCAGCTCCATCAGGACCCCCTTATGTACTGGTATAGGGGGGGGACAAGCACCTATGTGCTAGGTGACCCTCCCCAGTGGGAAGTGGGACAGCCCAGGGGTACCCCAAAGGGTCTACTGGGACCTATAGGCCCCCCCCAAAGGGTCTATTCCCATTACAGACCACAACAGACCCTCTTTAACCGCCTACAGACCTGCCCAAAACCCATTTAACCTTCCATATACCCCCTTTAGCCCCCCACAGACCCCATTTAAACCCTTATAGGTCCCCCCAGACCCCCTTTAACCCCGCATAGACCCCATTTGACCCCCTAGAGGTCCCCCCCAGACCCCCTTTAACCCTCCACAAAGAGTCTGGGGGGGGGGGGTTAAAGGCGGTCTACGGGGGTAACCAAAACCTATAACCCCTCATAGACCGCATTTAACCCCCCCCAGACCCCTTTTAACCCCCCCCAGACTCCCCCAGACCCCCTTTACACCCTATAGACCCCATTTAACCCCCTCCAGACCCCCCAAACCCCCTATAGGCCCCCCAGACCCCTTCTAACCCCCATAGATCCCCCATAGACACCATTTAACCCCCCACAGACGCCATTTACTGCCCCCTATACCCCATTTACCCCACAGAGACCCTAATTAAGCCCCCACAGAGCCCCCCATAGCTCAGCTTTGGCCTCCATTGAAGCCCCTTTAAGTCCCGCTCCGCTCCTCACCGCCGCGCTCCAGCCGGCTCCAAGCCCCACCCCTCCCTCCCCTCTCCACCAATCCCAGTGTGTCTCTTCCCCCCCCAACCAATCAGCACTCGCTTCCACGCGCTTGAATCGCGCCATGCGTCACGTACGTGCTCCCCGTTCCGTTCCGCTCCACTCCCCCACGCCCCCTGGCGCTGTTCACTCTGGAGCCCAATGACGCCTTTAGCAAGCACTACGCGTTGGGCACCGACACCGTTTTCAGCCCCCAAACGGACGTTTTTAGTCCCAAAATGACCGGTTTTAGCTCCAAAACGGCCGTTTTCAGCCCAAAACGGGTAGTTTTGGCTCACAAACAGCCACTTTTAGCCCCAAAATGCCTGGCATTAGCAGTTTTCAGCCCACAAATAGCCAGTTTGGCCGTTTTCACCCCCCAAACACCAAGTTTGTGCCGTTCCTTCACTCTTTGCCGTCCCATTCGGCCCATAGCACTCCTGCAGTTCGGTGACATTGCCGCAGGGGACACAGCACCAGCCACTGGGCCCCACATGGTAGATGGAGATGTAGCCGCCTGAGTAGGCATTGCGGTGTGTGGCCTGGAAGACGGCACGGAGCACCAGAGCACAGGCAGGCTCCAGCTCTGGGTGGTAGCTGCAGTCCAGCACCCATCGGGCATAAGGTGAGCCTGAGCCCATGGAAAAGGTGGTGCCCAGGACGCGGGTCCACGTTGTAGAGGCCTAGGAGGTAATGGGGGGCAATGGGGGACCAAGATGGCCACTGGGGCTGTGGGTACCAGCCCCATAGGGAACAGAGATCCATAACCATGGCTGCCAGCCCCATATAACTCAATATCCAAGTCCTTGACCCCATAACCATCAACCCCAATCCATGACCATCTACCCTATGGTATCCATCACCCTCCTAAACATGACCCCCATAACCACGACCCCCATAACCAGCCCCCCATGATGGCCCTCACCCCGTAACCATAACCTCCAGCCTCATGTGCCTCAATACTCAAGTCCTTAACCCCATAACCATCAACCCCATGATGTTCACCACCCCCTAACCTTGACCATGAGCCCCGTAACTCCAACCCCACAATGTCCATCACCCCATAACCATAAGCCCCATCTCTATATACACTCAATACCCAAGTCCTGCCCCCCCATAACCACCACCCACACTATGTCCATCACCCCCTAACCATGCCCATGAGCCCCATAATTCCAACCCCATTGTCTCCATTACCCCCAGCCCCATATACTTCAAGTCCTTAACCCCATAACCATGAACCTCACCCCATAACCATCAACCCCATGATGTCCACCACCTCCCAACCTTGACCATGAGCCCCGTAACTCCAGCCCCATGATGTTCATCACCCCCTAATCATAACGCCTAGTGCCATAAGCTTCACTACCCAAGTCTTTGGCCCCACAATCACCAACACCATGGTGTCCACCACCCCCCAACAACCCGCACTCACCAGGCCCCCTCTTGTTCCAAACGCAGATCATGGTGCCCATGTTGAGCCCCATGCCCTTGTAGTGGTACACCATGCTGGCAAGCAGCTTGGTGGTGGTGGCCACCAAGGCATGCTCAGGCATTACACGCAGCACTGCCGCACCAGCACATGCTGCCAGAAGGCGCAGTTGGTGATGCTGCCCGCCAGGGTGCCCAGCACCTGTGCGCTCACCTCCAGCACCTTCTGCACTGACTGCAACACCACATAAGAGCCAGTCATGGCGCAGGAGTCAACCACATGCACCATGCTGTGGTGCAGCTGCAGGGGAATGGGGACAGTGGGGTTAGATGGGGGGATATGGGGGTCAGGAGTCCCTACATGGAGCTCTAGGGAGGGATTAGGGAGGATATGGGGGTCTGGAGTCCCTAAATGGGGGTCTGTGGTGGTCTGGAAACCCTTTATGGGGGTCTGTGGGGAAATATGGGAGGACATGGAGATCTGCAGTCCCTACATGAGGTTCTATGGTGGTCTTGAGACGCTTTATGGGGTTCTACGGGGGGGATATGGGGTGTCCATGGGGGTCTGTAATCCCTACATGGGGTTCTAAGAGGGAATGTGGGGAGACATCAGGGGATATGGGGTTATATGGGGGTTTATGGGAGGTATATAGATGGGTCTGGAGTCTGTTACAAGGGGTTCTAGGGGGAAATATGAGAGGATATGGGGGGGATATGGGAGGGATATAGGGTGCCTATGGGGGGATATGGAGGTCTGGAGTCCCTAAATGGGGTTCTATGAAGTCTAGCTGGGGGATATAGGATGTTTATGGGGTGATATGGAGGGATTTGGGGGTCTGAAGACCCATTATGGGGTCTCTGGGGATCTATGGGGGATTTAGGGGAGATATGGGGGTCTATGGGATGTCTATGGGGGTCTGCAATCCCTAGATGGGAGTCTGAAGACCCTTTATGGGGTTCTATGGGGGCCTATGGGGAAATATGGCAGGACACGGGAGGATATGGGATGTCTGTGGGGGTCTATCGGGAGGTTATTGGGTAAAAAGGGGGGCTTATGGGTGCCTATGGAGGGTTATGGGGAGATACGGGGAACTATGGGGTGTCTATGGTGGGTTATGGAGGTCTATAGGGTGTCTGTGTGTCCCAGCCCCCCCCACCATGGCTCTCTATAGGTCTCAGCTCCCCCAAAATAGCTCTTTATGGGCCCCTATGTGGTCTCTATGTGCATACCCACCCCCCCCACCTCCCCCCATTTTGCCCCTACGGAGATTCTATGTTTTCTCTATGGGTCCCAGCACCCCCAGTGTCTCCCTATGTGTCTCTATGACTCCCCTAGAGTGCGTACCTTGAAGGTCAGGGTGGTGGTGCTATGCAGGAGGTAGGTGCCGGGCCCTGGCAGCAGCGGCGACAGCTTCCGGAGGAGGGGGGCGGCGATGTCGAGGGGGTAGCGCCTGGCCGGGTCCCGGGGCGCTGTGAGCCCCGGGAGGAGGGAACGGGACGGGAGCGGGGCCCCGGCCCGCACCACGACCGCCAGCGCCATCTTGGAGCGCAAAATGGAGGCGCGGTGCGGCCGTTACAACGGCAACGTGGCTGCCATGATGGGTGAGGGCATGACTCGGTGAGTAAAGAGGGGCTGGGCTAAATACGGAAAAGGTGGCGGGGCTTAGCGGAAGGGGGGACCATTATGGACATGAGCGGCGTGACTTAGATAAGGGAAGCCACATTTGGAGATGGAGGCGGGGCTTAGCGGAAGCGGGGAATTATGGAGATGAGGGTCGGGGCCTAGCGGAAGGGACGCCACGTACGGAGATGAAGGCGGGGCTTACCGGAAGGGGGCCATTTATGGAGATAAGGGGCGGGGCTTAGTGGAAGGGGGTTTTACATGGAGATAAAGGGAAGGGTTAAGGGAAATGAGTACCATATATAGAGATAAGGGCGGGGCTTGGGCAAAGGGGGCGTATCCTATGGCCAGGGGCTGCGTGGGCCGTGGAAGTTTGGGTAGAAATCCGCCAGATTCGGGGTCCTTTCGCCTACACTGGAGCCGGCGGTGGTGCTCCCACCCCCGTAGGCGCTGCCCAGGTGCCACACGGGGGTGCTGCGGGGGGGAGGGGGCTCCCACGGGGCTGAGCGGCTGTAGGGGGGAAGAGGTTAGAATGGGGGCAGAGTGGGGTTATTATGGGATATAATGGGGTTATAATGGAGTACAATGGGGTATATATTAGGGGTTATAATGGACTATAATTGGGTTATAATGGGATGTAATAGGTCTGTGCTGTTGTTACCTGACCACCTGGGAGCTGAGCTGCCGCCGGGGCTGCGGGGTCACTGCGGGTGCAGGCAGGGTTAGGGGTCAGGGCAACCCCCAGGTAAGGGGGTGCTGGGGGGGCCTTACCTGTGTGTGCCGGGGATGTGACCCCCACGGGCCGGGGAGTGCTGCTCCTGTGTGGGGCACAGGAGGGTGATGAGCGGCAATGAGGTGCCCCATAGCCTCCCATAGACTCCCATAGGGAGGGGGTCACCTGCTGCCCCCTCGCCAGCCGGGGGAGAGCTGTGGGGAGAGGAAAGGGGTTAATGCATAAGGGAAGGGGATATGGGGGTATATAGGGGCTATATGGGGGTGTATGGGGGTATATGGGGGGGTTATGGGGTCACCTGAGCTTGACGCAGCTCCATGTTCTCCCGGCGCAGGGACTCGAGCTCCCTGTGGGGGGGGGGGAAATAGGGGGTGAGAGCCCCATAAATGTGGGGCAGAACCACAGCAAGAGGGTGGCACTATAGGGGAATCAATGGGGGAAGGACCCCACCACGATGGCGGCTATCCATTGGTGTCAATGGCGCCTTAACCTCACCAACATGGCCGCCCCTAGGAGCCCCACTCAAGATGGTGCCTATTCATTGGTGCCAGTGGCACCTCACCGATAATGCCGCCCCAGATTCCCACTCCAAACATGGGACAGCAGAGCCGCACTCAAGATGGCACCCGCCATGAGGAACTCCCACTACGATGTCTCCCACTGCCTCCCCTCACCTCTCCTTCACACCCAGCTCCCTCTTCGCCTCCTCCATGGCCGCCCTATGGCGGCGGGCAGCGTCACGGTGCGAGGCCAGCAGCAGCTCCTCCTGAGCGCGCTGGAAGCGCCAGACCTGTGGGGCGGGAGGGAGGAGGAAAGTGGTGCCCAAGATGGCACCACCCTAGCTCTCCTTCCTCTTCTCCCATATGTACCTGAGTGATGCTCGCCAAGTGCTTTAGTGCAATGGCAGTGGGGCTCTTGAAGAAAAGCTTCTCCTGCAGGCGCATCTATGGCCATAGAAGGTGAAAGAGGAGGTTTAACGGGGTTTAATAGTGTTTAAAGGGGTTTTAAATGGGTTCAAATGCATTTAAAGGGAGTTAAAGGGGGGGTACGGGACTTGCCTGCGGGGAGATGGGAAGGTGGCGGCAGGCAGCGCCGCACACGGGGCACGGTCCTGTGGGGATAATGGGTAAAGGGAAGAGATTGACACTTTTAGGGTGGTTTATAAGGTGAAAGTGGGGGAATTCCCTTCCATCAGTTAAAGGTGGTAAAATACAGGAATTCCTGCTTTTCTGCTGTTTAAAGGGGTTAAAGGAAGGGGATTCCCACTTTTCTGCTGGTTTATGAGGTAAAAGGGAAGCAATTCTCTTCTTTCCATCAAATAAAGGTGTTAAGGTGAGGGGATTCCTTCTTCATTTAAAGGCATTAAAGTGAAGGAATCCCCTCTTTCCCACTACTTTATGAGGTAAAAGGAATTCCCTTCTTTTTGCTGTTTTATGAGGTAAAAGTGAAGGAATTCCATTTTTTCCACTATTTAAAGGCTTTAAGATGAAAGAATTCCTTCTTTTCCATTGCTTTAGGAATTAAAAGTAATGGAATTCCCTCTTCCCCAGTATTTTATGAGGTAAAAGTGATGGAATTCCCTTTTTTCACCATTTTAATGTGTTAAAGGTATGGAATTCCCTTTTCCCCACTTTATGAGCTAAGTGATGCAATTCCCTCTTTCCCAGTATTTTATGAGGTAAAAGTGATGGAATTCTCTCTTTCCCACTGCTTTATATGGCAAAAGTGTTGGAATTCCCCCTTTTTGCATCATTTAAAGGCATTAAAGTGATGAAATTCCCTGTCTCTCACCTGCGGCCCCGCACGCTGCGCACAGGACGTGCCCGCAGTTAGTGACTGCGAACCGCGCTCCCTCCTGCCGGAAACACTTGTTGCAATGGAACCAGTCCATGGTGGGAGAGAACGGGGCAGGAACAGGTCACGGCTGCCCACCCCACACCGCTGCCATTGCCCGAAGGGTCTCGAGCGTAGCGGAAGCCCCCCGAAGGGGGCGGAGTCGCCCGAAGAGGCCCGAGCGCAGCTGAAGTCATCCGAAGGGGGCGGAGCCACCCGAAGAGGGAGGAGTTGAAGCCGTCCGCAGAGTGTGATATTCCGCACACTTGGACTTCGAGGTGGGAAAGCGAGGAGCTAGGGCAATGCCGGTGGCGCAGTTGCGGAGTTCACAGTGTGCAGAAGGCAGCATATGGAACCTTTCCTGGTGTTATGCTAGGCTTCACGTGACAGAGGGGTCATGTCTTTATCACAGCAGGGTTAAAATCCTGTCCTCTCTAGCATGATCTTATGTGCCCTCCGCGCCAGCCTGGAAGGGCTAACACTGCAGGACAGGAATCAGGCCTTTGGTATGCTGCCTTGCAGGGGTGAAGGCTCCATGGAAACCTCTCCTGCCCATGTAGAGTAAACAAGGCTTTAGCCGCGGTAACCGCACACTCTGGCATCCAGCCTCAGCTGGGACTTGCTCCCAAAACCCTCTGCTATTTCTGTCCCTCTGTTACATACCTCTGCAGGCAGGCAGCTGCTGTGAGAATTACTGCAGGGGTAAAAGAGCACTTGGAAGGTACGGTCTAGAAACCACAGCCAAATGGGGCTTGAAAACGTGTGCTGTCAAAGGGCCTGTACAGATAGAAGATGCATGGTATGAAGGATAAATATTTAACAAGCCCAGGTTTGAACTGCACACAAAGGTACCAGGGTTCCTGCAGATGTTACAGGTAGAGGCCAGAACCACTTTTCCCCAAAATCTACTTTTGTGTGTGTGTGTGATTTTGGCCTGCAACAACTAAATCAAGTGTGGGGAAAGCTGAAATGAAAGCCACAGAGGCACCTGGAAAACCTGGTGAGTTATTCCTACTGTGAAAAGAGGTGCCCCGGGAGATGTAACCCAGAGCACGGAAAAGCAGCTTTTAAACACTGAGGTGTCCAAACTTCCCCCTTGTCCCACTTCCTCTGGTTTTCCAGCGTAAATTTTTTGCCTCAAGCCTCAACCAGAGTGCATTGAGGCTGAGAGCTGAAATGTGAACGTGACCTCCAGCCCACCCTGCTCCTGCTCCCCTCAGCTCTGGCACACTCACAGCCCTGGTGCTTGGCTTGAGGAGGCTGCAATTAAAGGGAAACCCCATATAACACACTGTAACCTCGGTGGGGAAAAAGCCACCACCGGAACAGCCGCCATGAATCACTCCCGAGCCCCTCGGCAGGTGCTCAATTAAGCTCCATGCGCTGACTCCACCGGACAGGGCCCTGCCTGCAAAGTGGCATATTCCCGGTGGTCCCAGGCCGTGACCACTCCCTAGGCCTCCCCAAGCCCGGGGGGCTGCCACGGCTCCTGCCTGGGGCCTGTGATACGGTTGGGCGTCAGGGGGGGGTGAGCGCAGAAACAGCCGAGGAGCGGAGGTACCGCCCAGGCCGGGCCTGGCCACGGGATGCTAGGGCTGCAGCAAGAACCCCCTACAGCGCCGCCACCCTCTCAGCCTCTGCCGAGCTTCATGCGCGGAGCAGCATCCCGTGCGCCTATTGGCTAGTGGGAAAAGGGGACTGCCTATCAGCCAACCAGCGCCTCCTTTATTGGATTTGGCGCGCCCCCTTAGGCCGGAAGCGAGTGAGGGTGAGGACCCCACGGACTCGACGTAGGACAGGAGACGGAAGATCTGGGCCTCGGATCTCCACCACGCCGGGTGGTCCCGCAAGGCTGCGCCAGTGTGTATGAGCCCTCCCCGCCGCCAGCGAGCCCCACCCCGGCCGCCCCCAAAGGCCGACGGGAGCTATAGTCCCGGACCCGGCGCAGCGTGGTCTCCGCACGCCGATACAGACTACCGATCCCGGCATGCCCCACGGCCCATCACCCAATCGCGGCGCGCTTTGTTTTGGGGGTGCGGCAGGCGCCGAGGCTCCGTTGCAAGATGGCGGACGACAGTGAGACAGCAGCGAGGCGGCCACCGACGAGGTGTCCGCGGCCGCCACCGGAGGAGAACGACCACGAGTACTGCAGCGACTGCGAGAACGAGGCGGGGCACGGCTCTAACCGGGGGTGAGCGGCAACCGGGGCCGCCCGCCGCGGCGGCGCCTGGGCCCATTGAGGAGGCGGTGGCAGGGAAGTGAGCGGCGGCCCGCCCTGCGGGCGTGCTGATTGGCTGCGAGGCAGCGTCCCGCTCTACGATTGGTGTAGCTGCCCGTCAATCTGCCCGAGGGGGTGGATCCGTTGGCTCTCATTCACGCCAGTTGTGGGAGCGTGTCTGGAGCCGAGTGGGGTCGGGTTCGGCAGTGGCGTGGATGGGGAACGGGCAGCGCTGTGTCCGGGGGCAGCCGGGACGGGGCCGCGAGTGCCTCTTCCTTTGTCAGGAATGAGCCTAATCCGCAGCTCTTGTTGTCCTTGTGTTAGGGTGTGTCTCACGTGCCCCCTGGTCCCCAGCACAATCCCCTGCTGGCATTTCCAGCACCACAGTGACACGCTGGGTGTGTTATCGCGCTCCCCGGAGCCTGAGGCTGCCCTGGAAGAAGCCCAGGCTCCTGCGCACCCATTCTGGCCTCATCCTGAAAACAGCTCAGGGTTTTGCAAAGCTCAGCTAATGTTGTCTTGTGGTTTGAGGAGCAGGATATGAAATACTGAGTTAGCAGCAATTAGGCTGGTTGTGAGTGGACATAGCAAGGAAGGGCTTTATCTAGGTAGTAAAGATCTGAAATCCCCAACAGGCACCCGTTTACTTGCTGCTTTATTTGATAAGACACGGAGCTGCCTCCCCATGCCTGTTGGTTTCCTTCTCATTCCTGCTGGCTTTACATGCAGCAGGGCACGTCGATGTGTGGCTTATGCTACATCATGTTTCCAGAGGGTTTGCATCTTGCACTTCATGCCCCTGGACCTCACCATGCTCCTCTTCCTGCTCGCCTTGTGCCCCAGCAGCTGCATTCCCAGCGTTGTGGCACAGAGGCTGTCGCCTTGGACAGCTCTTCTTCCTCCATCGGCAGCTCTCCAGAGGCAATCTCGCCTGCCTAGTAACTGAAGTGAATAAAAGGTCACTCAAGGAATATCACAGAGGATTTCTTTATGACAGCACAGATGCCTGGTTATGGTGTATTTGCCTCCCAAGTGTGGCACTGTGTCTCAGGCTAATAGGTATAGCTGTTCCTGGGGAGATTTTTATTCTCTTTCCCTCTGACATGGTTAGGTTTGTGAAAAGCAGAGCCAAGCAGAGAGGAGACACAGTGCTTAATTACTGTTATTTCCCAGTCCAGAGGTTCAACCTGTACTTTGCCAGGGAAAGGTCTGTTCTTGGGCCAGTATCACACCTGCAACCTCAAGGAGTTAAAATGCAGTTTCCTGCCTGAACTAGGGCAAGCATGGACGTGCAACAAGCTAACTGGGCAGCTGGGGAAGTGTCCCAGTAACAAAGAGAGAGTTTGGATCACTCAGGAAATAATGTTGGAAGTGTGGCTGACAGGCACAGTGATCACAAGCACAAGGCAGTGAACCTTCCAAGTGCTCTGGCAAAGCTCCTGTTTCCTCAAAACCTAATCGGGGGGGAGCCACTTAGGAGAGAAAAGACTGAGCAATAGGAAAGGTGGTGGTTTTCTTTCTCAATGCATGTTCTACTGATTTCTGTTCTGTTCTGTTGATTTCATATGTCATGTTACACTGGAGTGGGGGAGTGTTTCCTGTCACTGTCCCCTAAAACGGGGCAGGGGAAGTGTCTTGAGCTGCCAGGGGGTTGCAGAGCAACATTCTGAGTCCTGCCTCGGCCCAGCTTGTGGTGAGAGTTATAGAATCATAGAATAGAATAGAATCATAGAATAGTTGGGGTTGGAAAGGACCTTAAGATCATCTAGTTCCAAACCCCCCTGCCATGGGCAGGAACACCTCACACTAAATCATGTCACTCAAGGCTCTGTCCAGCCTGGCCTTGAACACTGCCAGGGATAGAGCATTCACAACTTGCCTGGGCAACCCATTCCAGTGCCTCTCCACCTTTACAGTAAATAACTTATTCCTTATATCCAATCTAAACTTCCCCTGTTTAAGTTTTAACCTGTTGCCCCTTGTCCTGTCACTACGGTCCCTAATGAAGTGTCCCTCCCCAGCATCCTTATAAGCCCCCTTCAGATACTGGAAGGCTGCTATGAGGTCTCCACGCAGCTTCTCTTCCCCAGGCTGAACAGCCCCAACTTTCTCAGCCTGTCTTCATACGGGAGGTGCTCCAGTCCCCTGATCATCCTCGTGGCCTTCCTCTGGACTTGTTCCAACAGTTCCATGTCCTTTTTATGTTGAGGGCACCAGAACTGCTCACAATGCTCCAAGTGAGGTCTCACAAGAGCAGAGGGGCAGGATCACCTCCTTCGACCTGCTAGTCACACTCCTTTTGATACAGCCCAGGATACGGTTGGCTTTCTGGGCTGAGAGAAACAGTTGCTGGATCTTGGCTCTGAGATTTAAAACGCACAATTATTACTTAGTGAAAGCAACACTTTCTTTCCTTTTAAGGCCAGGAAAGAGGAATTGAGCTTCCCTTGCTGCCGTTCCGTGTCAGCACAGGGAATTTGCTACACTGCTCTCTGCTTCGGTGTCCAAGTTGATTTCCTCCCCCAAAAAGTACAAACAAATCCCACTTTTGTCACCCTTTGTGCAGAGAAGGCTCCTGTCATGTTTCCAGGTCTGTGGAGGGTTTATTCCTGTTGTAGATAAAGACATTGGAAGAGCAGAGACCAGCACAGGCTCTAATTCCCCAAGCTGGTGCCAGCCCATGGGGTTTGTCAGCCCACAGGCAGTGATGAGACCACGGATTCAAGTGGCCCAGCCGTGTGAAACGTGGTTGTTGTTGGCAAAACCACACAGGGAAGGTGGGAAGAGTTCAGGGAGGGTTCTGTGGCGTGAACTGAGTTGTTGCTGGATGGAGCATGGGGGGAAAAGGGGCTTTAGTCAGAGGGGCAGCTGTCAGATTTGACAATCCCTGCTATCACTTGCACTGAGAGGGGATGTTTCTGGGACATCTGCCGTGCTCTACCATGCAGGATTTAGTTTTAGGTGTTGTAAGGAGCACAGTAATGGCACACTCTGCTTCGGGACCTGTGCTCTGCCATCTGCAGAGCCTCCCTCCCCACCCTGGCCCCTGAGATGATTACAGCTTAAGCACCGCACCCGATTAGCCCCAGGTTTCACAGAGGATTTTCCAGCATCTAAACAGGGAGCAGGGAGCTCCTAGTTCTCATCTGACACCTTTCAGGTGGGGAGGCAAGGCCATGCAGTGGAGGAATTACAAGCACAAGCCCTTGTTTGAATCTGGGAATTGTTTCCAGTCGGGGTTTTAGGGCAAACCAGCATTTCTGGTCCTGTTTGCTGAGGTGTGAGCCAGTCTTTGAGGCTGAATGTGGCAGTTTGCTTTGTGGAACAGAAGATGCTTTTTGATCACTGCAGTGTGTATGCTATGGACAATAACACCCTGTCCCTGCCTTTGAAATCCCTCCATGCCCACCCAGAACTTCCTGCCTGGCTTTGGCAACTGCGGGAGCCATGGGGAGTCAGACACAGCCAGAGTTGTCCTCCCTTGTGCTTTCCTCCCTCACCTTGCACAAATAAAGCCCTCAGAGCTGGGAATACGGCAGGAGCACGCGTGGGTTCAGGTTATAGATAAGTGGGTGCTGGGCACCAGTTTGTTACTGGGTATGCCTGGGCTTTGCCAGCCTCCAGGGGGGCTAAGCTGGTGCAGGACAGTCTGAGTGGGTCTTGCCTTGAGCAAGCCTGCCTGGTTTTTAGGTGCTTTCAAAAGCCTTATTTTCGTGCTGCCTCACGTTATGGGTGTTATTTTCTGTGCAGTGGTTGATTGGCAAACTCTGAGTCATTTGGTAGAGGGGAAGTGGGGTTACAGCCATACATAATGGCCATAATATTGGTGATGCCTTTCCTGGGAGAAGGGAACATGGGTTGTTGCAGGTACTGGGGGTGCATTTTGCATGGCGCAGCCAACGCGTCCTTCTCCACCCGCTTTATCTCTTAAAGCAGCTCAGGCTAGAAGGGAGATAGGGAAGAAAAACCATGGGCTGTGGGACAGGAGCTGGCCTGGCAGTTAACCCTTGCTGAGGGAGCAAGCAACTTCAGCCCTTGCAGCTTTGTGGGTCACATCAGCTGCAGTAGTTGGCATTTTGTATGGTGGTAGATCATCCCAGGATGCCTGGGATATTTCTGTTACTTTGAGGAGAGTCAGAAGGGCTGCAGCTACACTGGAGCATAACAAAGATGATACTTGCTTTCCTAAATGGACTTTAAAATAGAAAATACCTATAATTACTGTTTCCCAAGGTGTAGCAAGTTGGACCTTCATGTTTTCCAGCATTTTCACACATGCTGGCAAGTCCTCTGCTGGGTTGGTTTTCATCTCCCAGCTGGAGCAGGGCCCTTCCCCACACCACAACACCTGGGAATGCAAAACTTCATCCTACCTTATTCCATCCTGATTTCTTCCAGGTCACGATGGCTTTGCTCATAAATCAGGGAGGACTTTTCTCAGGAACTTTACCTGTGAGTCTGGTATGGGATGAAGTGATGCTGGTTGGGCTGAACTCATTAGCAGCAAGCTGGGAGTTGGCAGCTCTGATTTATGAAGCAAAGTGACACCGACTGAATACTCAAGGTCTGGAAGGATTTTGTTTTTCTCATCTGACACCTCCAGCATCCTGATGTGGAGGTGACCTGGGAAAACATGTCCAGTCTCCTTTGGAAGGGATGGCTTCCAGCATCTGCCCTCAGATGTGCTCACAAACTTGCCTTGTGCCATCAGTTTGTGGTGTTACAATTGGTAAGAAATCATACAATCCCAGACTGGTTTGGGCTGGAGGGGACCTTAAAGCGCATCCAGTCCCAACCCCTGCCACGGGCAGGGACACCTTCCACTAGAGAAGGTTGCTCCAAGCCCCTGTGTCCAATCTGGCCTTGAACACTGCCAGGGATGGGGCAGCCACAGCTTCTCTGGGCACCCTGTGCCAGCACCTCAGCACCCTCACAGGGAAGAGCTTCTGCCTAAGAGCTCATCTCAGTCTCCCCTGTGGCAGGTTGTCCTGGGTTCAGCAGTAGCAGTCATGTTTCTTCTGCTACTGCTGAACCCAGGACACAGGTTCAAGCCATTCCCCTTGTCCTGTCCCTACAGGCTCTTGTCCAAAATCCCTCTCCAGATTTCTTGTTGCTTCTTTATGTGCTGGGAGCTGCTCTAAGATCTCCCTTAAGGAGCCTTCTCTTTTCTAGGATGAACCAGCCCAGCTCTCTCAGCCTGGCTCCAGAGCAGAGCTGCTCCAGCCCTCACAGCATCTTTGTGGCCCTTTCTGGACTTGCTCAAGCAGGTCCATGTCCCTCTTGTGTTTATTGCAGCTCCATAGTGGATGGTTTGGCTCACCCCAGTACCTCAGTGTGGCCATCCTGCCTGGTTGGGGATCTGCCAGGTTTCACCCATGCTCCTTTGCAAGGAGTTTAAAAATATAACCTATGGTGCATTTGTCACCAGGATCAGCAGTGGTGTCAGCACCACTTTGCTGTAATCACTTGTGCTGTCATGACAGAGCTTGTGCCTTGGGGTGGAGGTGAAGCCCTTCCTCAGCAGAGGGAGGAGGGGGAGATGTCCCCCCGCAGGGACAGTTCAGCAGTGATGCTGATTCCCACAGGGCTGCAGCTCCGTGGCTGCTCCTCTCTCTGTTCTGCTTCTTAATATGCTTCTGGAGAAGAGCAAGTGGTACTCACTGGGAGTTTCCAGGCTGGCTGGTGCCTCTGGGCAGATCAGCTGTGTGGTTGTCCCTTCTGGGAGGGCAGCACTCATTCTGGGAGTGCGAAGAAGGAGACCCCTCTATACAATAAAACAACAAATACGCTGACTTGGATCCCTGAACTCAGACTTGGGGAAAGAAGAGGACAAGGTCCCCAGTTACAGGAGACCCCAGACATGTCCCGTATCATGCCCTGGGCAGACCTAGCCCTGCCGAGCTCATCCCGGTTTCCAGCCAGACCTGCGCTGGTGTGGGTGTCAGTGCCCACCAGTGGCGGACCTTGCAGTTGTAGGTACTGTGGATGTGCCACTGGATGCAAAGAGCAGCTCCCACCCAGGGTTTTCCATGGCTTTCCTTGCTCTGGCCTCTCCCCTTTGAGACAGGCATGGACTATTGTCCTCAGTGAAAACAGAAGAGGAGATTTACTGCGGTTTAACTGCAAAATAAACTTGACAGCACTGACAGGGACAGGACAGCTAAGCGAAGCTGCTGGTGTGCGCTGCCCCCTCGTGTGTGTTGGCAGCTGGCAAATCACCCCTGGCCCTGTGTCCCTCCTGTTTCCCCTCATCCCTCTGCTCAGTCCTGCTCTGGCCATCTCAGGGTTGAATCTCCACCTGAGCTGTGGCCGTCTTGGAGGCTGTGACCCTGTTCTGGGGTCTTGAGCCAGGGAAGCTCCTGGCTTGAGGTGTCCCAGCCCTGCAGCAGTAGCGTTGTCTGTGCTGTGCCCAGGTTAGGCCACATCCACCATGCTGGGAGCAGGCACTTTTCCTCTGTGGTGGCATCCAGCAATAGTCCTCTTGCTGGACTTGCCCAGTAAGGCTGAGTTCAGGGTGAGGTTTCATGCTTTGGGGTGATCGCATCGGCTATGGGACTGCCATGTATCCCTGGAAGGATGGGCAATGCCCTGGCACATGCTCCCAAATTTGCTGCTCAGTCTCAGTTTTCTAGCTCCAGCATAACAGTATAATTTCCCACTGTAACAGCTACTGTATCCCAAGATCATCACCTCTGCAGGGGGGTGACAGTGTCCTTGGCCACCAGCCCCTCTGTAGTGCCTGAACCTGCTGTGGTGACTTATCCCCAGGGCTGGACCAGTGTTTGCTGTCCTCCATCCATCCTTGGGCTCAGAGAGGAGGAAAAAACCTAAGCTGGGCATCCCTGCCTCTCCTTGGGGTGGATTTACATACGTGTGGCCAAGTGGGGTGGTGTGACAGCAAAGACATGGTTACCTGCAGTATGGGGCACTCCCCACCACTGAGCAAACCTGCAGGGTAGGAGATGTTGGTGCTGGTCCCCTTTTGGGAGCTAACACAGAGCTCTGGGAGAGATGCTGGGAAGAGGGCACAGCACTGCACCCTCTGTGCACTGAGCATTCACCCTCCTGGAAACTTGGACTGAGAGCAGGGAGCTTGTGTTTTCTTTAGAGAACGACAGAAACCCTATAAATGTTCTCCAAAAGAAACCTCAGGGCTCTAATGATGTTTCTTTTGTTCCTTAGAGGCTTGAGTCCAGCAAATGACAGTGGAGTCAAAAAGAAGAAAAAAAAACCCAGAAGGAAGAAAGAGAAAGATCAGCCTAACCAGGCTCAGGACCAGCCAGTGAAGGTGACTGACCCCCTTCCCAGAGTTGCAGCCCCACACAGCATCCAGCCCCATCCTGAACCTCCCCAGTGTAGCTTAGGGCAAGGAAGGAGTCACCAGAATCAGGGTTTTAGGCACTTGGCTGCTCAAAGAACTGAAGTTTTCAAGTGGTTGCCCAGCCTGGCTCCATGTGTGGGAATTCCCATCGGTGCAGGAGGTGTTTGTGGAGCCCTCCAGGGTAAATGTGGTTGTTTTCTGAACGTCCCAGTCCACTTTAGTGAGCAATGAAAGGGTCACAGGCAGGGAACTGCCACTGCCCCTGCTGCCCACATCCACCATGGCAAGTGTGTTCTCCTTCTTGGATGACATCTGATACTGTTGATTTTCTGCCTCATTTTCATAAGAGCAGCAGCCAGGTCAGAGCAGGGTCTGTCTCACCCCTCTTGGCTTTGCCTGGTCCTGTCTAGCAGCCAGTGCTTCAGAAAGAAGGTTGGGATACGTAGGGTTTGTCCCTGCCAGGGTGGCATCCTCCTGGCCTTCTCATCCCCTCTTATCCTCTGGCAGGGCACATCAACAGAAGCTCTTTTCTATCCAGTACCCAATTTGCATCCAGATAGTGCTGATATTTTGTCCTCCTGGCTGTGCAGAGCATTAATTTGGGGCTTTGCATTTTCAAACTAAATTCTTCAGGAATCAGGGAACAGTTGGGGTTTGGAGCTGGCCACCCTGCCAAGGTCTGTCTGAGGAGGAGGAAAATCTTTCTTCTTGATTCAGCCTCTCCACCTTGTCGTAGTCCACAGGGCCCAGGGACTCCTCTATGGAAGCTGCCATTTGCAGACATGGATCCAGCTTAGGTGGAGGAGGCTGAAGCAATGAGGGAAAAGCCACCTCAGGAGACCCAGGTGCTGGGTGTGAATTGAGCCAGGGAGTCTCTGGCTCATGCAGAGTCTCTGCTCATGCAGAGTCTCAGTCCCTGCATGATCCAGGGAGTCTCAGGGTGTTAGCCAAGGTGGAGCAAGGAGCTTTGCACTTGGGGTTTACAGCACCCTCTTAACTGTAGCTTAAAGCATTTTAAGCCAGTTCATCCACCTCCCTTGACCCAGGAGTGCCTAGAAACCAGGTCTAGGTCTGTAGCAGGTGGCTGGTGACAGAGTTCATCCATTTTGTAGAGGGTTACAGGAAAATCTAGGATGGGAAGGGAGTCTCTTACCTGCTCTCCCCTTCCTGGCAGTGTCCCAGGGCAGAGTCAGCTCCCTCAAAGGAAGAGCTGAAATACAGACCTGGTGGCTCAACTTACTCATTTTGCCGTTCTGTCCTCAGGTGAACTCATTACCTGCTGAGAGGATCCAGGAGATTCAAAAAGCCATAGAGCTCTTCTCTGTAGGTCAAGGCCCTGCCAAAACCATGGAGGAAGCCAGCAAAAGGAGCTACCAGTTCTGGGACACGCAGCCAGTGCCGAAGCTAGGTATGTACAGCCCCTTGCTGGTTTGTGCTCCTTGGGGGAAGCCTTGTGGTCCCCAGGCTGCTCAAAGACACCTGAAGTAGCTGGTCTCTGGCCAGCAGGTGAGTCCCTAGATGGCTTCTCATTGCTGTCCTGTCTGGACTTTGAAGGCATCAGTGATGCTTGTCTCCCATTCAGAATCATGGACTCTCAGCCCTGCCACTGGAAAGCTGTGCAGGTGCTTTGGGTGGTCAAGAGGTACGAGGAGCCATTTCAGACACCTGATTTGATGTCTCTTGTGTTTGGGCATCCCTTCATTTGTATTAGCCCTTGAACTGGGTCTCCAGAGCCCTCTATGCCCAAGTTTCAAGCGCAGCATTGTTAGCCTTCTTCTTGCAGCTATGCTTTTTCTGAGAGTTGAAGCTTCCAGCAAGGGGTCCTTAGTGTGGAATGTAGCTCGGCATGAGACCGGGCCAGTTGCTCAGGGAAGCAGGTCCATATGCTGAGCTGCCACATTTTTGGTTTTCTGAGCTAAATTCAGCCTCTAGCATGGGTAGGTGCTGGGCTCAGCTAGGAGAAGGGAGAGACAAACCTTGAGAGCATGAGCATGCCCAAGCTGCCATGCACATCTAAAGATGAGAAATCCTTTCTCTTCCTGCCCTCTTCCCCCTGCAAACAGCCTGGCTCTTCTTCCCAGCTCTAGTCTTTGCTCCAGCCCTTTCTCCAGTTTGCTCTTGACACTATCAGCTCCATCAGAAGTGATGTATTGTCAGTAGCAGGTGTTGCTCAGGATGGCAGGAGCTATTGGCAGCTGAGCACATCTGAAAGGCAGAGGGGAGCCCTGCTTGCTGATCTGTGTGGCTGGACAGTGCTTCTTCCCAGCCTTGTTGGATCAAGTCTGCAGTGCTCCTGGGGTGCCGGGGTTGCTTTGCTTAGTCTCCTCCAGCAAAATTCATGTAGAGCTCAGGAGAACTAGTAAATGAGCCCATAGTTTCTAGTTTTACCCATAGCTTGTCATGGCTTCAAATTGGCTGCTCCTCAGTAATTTCCTTTATGGGGCTTCAAGTCCCTTTTGCTGCAAACACAAACTGTATTTGATTCCCTTTGCTTGCTGTCAGCACCAGGCTGAGTCTTTTGTCTCAGAGACTGCTGAGAGCAATGGTTTTAGCTTTGTGCTTGGAAAGTCATAGTGAGATGGAATGGGGTTGGGTGAGACAGCAAAACCAGATCTTGAATTAGCCTTTTTTTCCCAGAGGATCCTGGGCATGGCAAACATCATTTCTGCATGGGTAAACTCTGGAGGAAAGGTGGAAGATGTCTTCAGGGGAAAGAGAGGCACAAAACAGCACGTTCCTCCATACACCAACTTGCTATGCTGTGCTCTGACTCAGGAACATGCTCTGGCACACAGTATTATGTACATCAGGCTAGTGAAGGCTGGGTAACAAAAGTGCTGTGGGATTTTGGGGACTGGATTCCAGAGCAGTTCAGCACCTGCTCAAAACAGGGAGGACAGCCAGGGGTAAGCGTTTCTGGAGGGGTGTGATGGGGGCAGTTTTTGCTCTGGGCTTTCTTCAGCTCCCCGTTAACTGCAAACCTTTCCAATCCCTTTTTAAGGGAATTCCTAATTCGCACAGTTTGCTTCCCTTCACAGCACTCAAGTGATGCCACTGTGTTGACATCCCCAGGAAAGCCAGTGCTTGAACCAGGATCTCTTGGCTGAATCAGGAGCTTTAGGAGTCAGTGTTTTTTCCAACAAAAGTAGTTCTGTTCACTGCAGCTCTTCTGTAAGGGCAGTGGGAAGGAAACCCTGACACTTGCCAAATGGCAAGGGCCAGAGCTGGCAGGGAGAGAGGCACCATCCCATGGAGCAGCTCATGGGAAAGTGCTGGCCGAGGCTGGGATTGTGGGGATGGGGAAGGATAAGATGTAACATGTGGACCTGGAAGACATAGCTGTGTCCCTGAAGCTCATCAGCTCGGTCATCTCCTCTCTACTGCACAGTCAGCTGCAGTGTTGCCCTGGAAGGAGTTTTGATTCTCTGCCCCTGTGTCACAACAGATGTGTTACACATCCCAAACTGGGTGGGTGAAATAGCAATTCATGGCTCCCCTCAGCAGGAACCTGGGGTAGGAGACATGAGTCACATTGGTTGCCAGATTGAGCTGTTGTTGTGGAGACTTGGCTTCAGAAGTAGGTGTCTTCATAGCTCCTTGCTCTCACAGGAGAAGTGGTGAACACCCATGGTCCCGTTGAGCCAGACAAAGACAATATCCGTCAAGAGCCATACACTTTGCCTCAGGGCTTCACCTGGGATGCCCTGGACCTCGGAGATAGAGGCGTGGTGAGTACAGGCAGCTTGGCACATGTACTGGAAGGCCATCTCCTTTGCCCAGTTGGCAGTTCTGTGCTTGGACTGCTAAAGGTGGTTTTGGGGACAGGAGTGTGTCCTTCACCATACCAGACAACTCCCCAACTCAGTGGTCATGTCATCTCCTTGGAGTTAGCTGGGTCTGACTTCTCCCACTGTGCAGTTACCTCTTCCCCATCCCATGTTGGCCTGGTTAGCCTGGTTTCTTCGCAGTGATGTAAGGATACCTGAAGCCAGGAGTTTTCACTTAGGAAGACCCTCCAGACTGTGACCCACCTCCCCGGGAGATGACCTGTGTCATCCTGTGTGTCCTGCTGCTTACCAGGCTCTGCAGTGGCAGGTTCAGGAGCCTGGAGCCAGCAGGCCAGAGCAGGAGGACATGCCAGAAACAGGGACACATCTGCATATGTTACCCATTGCTGTGGCCACACAAAAAGTGCTCAGGGTCCCATCTCAGGGCAGCTGGGGCATGTGATGGCTGAACAGATTTCTTAACCTGCTTGGTCTCTGCTGCTTCAGCTGAAAGAGCTGTACACACTGCTGAATGAGAACTACGTGGAGGACGATGACAACATGTTCCGGTTCGATTACTCTCCTGAATTCCTGCTGTGGTGAGTGGCACCATGACCATGGAGCACAGGGGGCTGGATGCTGCTGAGCTTGATCCCAGTGACAGCAGTGGAGCTGCTGTTGCTTTTCCCATCTCACTTGATGAAACCTCCCTTCCCATCTGTCACCATGTGCTATTGTCCCATGTACACTGTGAGAGCTCTCACTCAGCCCTGCCTGCCTCTGGTTTCCTTGAGAGATAGGAGCCTAAACTAGGAGCTCTTTTTAACTCTTTGGGTTGATCCCTGAGTGTTTGTAAAAATACCAGTAGCTGAGGAACTTCTCAATGCCCTGGAGCTGTAGGATGAAGGTGGCTGCCAAGCAGTGTTGCTAGGAATAACACTTGGACACCTCTTGCACTAGAGCTGCTGTTTCTTCAGGGTGTTGGTCAATCAAGGAACATGGATTTCCTCCTGTGTCACTAGTGAGAACTGGCTTTGGCCACAGAGTAAAGGAATTGCTCTGGATCCCAGTGGTCCTGCTTGTCACATCACTGTCACCCTCTCATCCTGCCTGCAAACCTGCAGCTGCCTTGGGAAGCCTGGACAGGGTGTCCCAGGGCACAATGGGGAGGCAGGAGCAGGTACTCTGGGAACCTTTGGGATGTGGCTTCTGAAGTGTGTCTCTTCTCCAGGGCACTGCGTCCTCCAGGCTGGTTGCCTCAGTGGCACTGTGGAGTCAGAGTTGTCTCGAGCAAGAAGCTGGTTGGATTTATCAGTGCAATTCCAGCCACCATCCACATCTATGACACGTGAGTGCTGCTTGGCTGCATTTCTCATTCTGCCGCTTAATGGTACATGGGGCTTCCTGGGAGCACTGAGGAGGTCTGGCTGTGTTGTCCTCCCCAACCAACAGAGCCAGACCTATGCTGCCCAACCGTGGGGATGCTTTGCTGCTTGGAGGAGAAGGTGGGGGATATTTAAGATGAGCAGTGAAGTTCTGTGCAAGGACATCCTGTAGTTAGCCACCATGAAGGCTGTTTTCCTTAAGAAGTGAGGTCAGCTTAGAGCTCTGGTTTATAGAAATCTTCCAAGGCTGGATGGAAGCCATTTAACTTGGGAAAACCTTGGGTAACAGCTTAAGGGGGAGTTCTCCAAACCCAGCCCTTGCTCCTTGGCCTTCCCCAAGGCTTTGACTGCTCTTTTTCTTGAAGGGGCTGGAGGTAAATTGCCCTGAGTGTTGGACTGATCCTCCTGGCTCAGGACAGTGGGGTCTCATGCTTTGCATTGTTTCTTTCCCAAGAGAGAAGAAGATGGTAGAAATAAATTTCCTGTGTGTGCACAAAAAGCTGCGTTCGAAACGGGTGGCTCCAGTTCTGATCCGGGAGATCACACGGCGGGTGCATCTGGAGGGAATCTTCCAGGCTGTTTACACTGCAGGGGTGGTGCTGCCAAAGCCTGTGGGGACTTGCAGGTGAGTAGCTAGGCTACTCCAAAGAGATTCCTGCCTGTAGACCTTCCCTTACCAAGATATCTTCTGTAGCATGTGTGGGATTCCCCAGGACAGGAGAGATTGATTCCAGCCCAGGTTTCTCCCCACAACATCCTTCCAGGATTAAGTCCAGTAGCTTTGCTTAAGCTGCTCATATATCACAGGACAGGACACTTTCTGCAACACAAGTGCTTCAGTCTGCCCTTGTTTTTCTCTATGGGAGCTGCTGGCCTCTTCACCAGTTCTGTGATGTTCTCACCCTCTCATGGCACCTCTGAGAACCTTGTGGCCATCCTGCTGCCCAGGAACAAGTCTCCCACTGTGAGTGTGTTTCTGCAGGTATTGGCACCGGTCCCTGAATCCTCGGAAACTCATCGAGGTCAAATTTTCCCACCTGAGCAGGAACATGACTATGCAACGTACCATGAAGCTTTACCGGTTGCCCGAGGTGGGTGCCAGGCAGGGCTGTGAGCTCATGAACTGCTCCTTGCTGAGCAGGGGGTGAGGCTGGGAATTGGAGAGACAAGCAGCTCAACTGAGGTCAGGTCCTCTGCCTGGAGAGCTGGGGTTTCGTTCATATAGTAAATGATTCTGTCAAGCCACTGCTCTTTATTTAATCTTTATGTATGTTTTGCCTGGGTACCTGCATTTTAAGGCAAATTTTTGCAGCTAGAGGACCTTGTGAGCTTTTGTTTGATGGTGAGTCACATCCTCTCCTGCTGGTAAAACAAGAATGCAGATATGACAGCCTTCATCTGTCCAAACACAGCCTTGGAGTGACCGTGCACTGGGTTAGTCCCTCATTCTTCAGTCAAACTGATCGGTTCTGTCACTGCTGTTGTCCTGCCTGGGAAGTTCCCAGATGGATATGAGAGAAAAACCAAACAAAGCATTAAAATTGCCACCACCTTCCCTGACCTTGTTGCCTTCATTTTGTTGGTCAAAGCTGCTTGTTGCAGTTGGAGGGTGCTGCTTCAGGGCTGAGCATCACATGGCTCCTGTCTCCTGCCTCCTGCTGCAACAGAGGCACCAGTTGCTGGGCTGTAACTGCTGGGTTTTGCATAGAAACCCAAACCCTGAAGCAGTCTGTGCTGCTTGAGCTGGGCTTTGCTGAGAAACCCGAACCATACAGTAGAAATTGAGACCAACTGGAAATAACCTCAGGTGGTTCCTTGCAGTGCCTGAGGCACATCTCCCAGTTATCCCTGCTGCAAGCGGGGCCAGAAACCCAGAGGGAAGCAGAGATCTTGAGCTGTTAGTGGGTAGGAGGCCACTTCCAGTGGAACTTCACCTGGCATTTGGGGCCTGGGGACCTGCTGTGCTTCTCTGTGGTCTCTGTGCCAGTGTCACAGCTGATCGCATCCATCATGCCAGGCAAGCAAGGCTGGGGGATAGGAATGCTGGGGTTTGGGACTGAAAATGGGCTGATCTAAGCAGATAGCATCTCTGTGCTGCTTGTCAGAGAGCCCTTCAGTGATAAAAGTCACAGTGCAAGCAACTCAAAGGGTTTCTCCTGCTTTCGGTAGACACCCAAGACTTCTGGATTGCGGCCAATGGAGCACAAAGATATCTCTGCAGTGCACAAGCTCTTGACCGAGTACCTGAAGCAGTTCCACCTGACACCCGTCATGAGCCGAGAGGAGGTGGAACACTGGTTCTTACCTCAGGAGAACATCATCGACACGTTTGTGGTGGAGGTGAGGGGGCAGGAGCAAGATTGACGGTGTTTTCTTCAGTTTCTGCCTCCTCTGGAAGAGGCTGCCCCAGTCAGTGAGATGTTCTTTCGGGCTGGGAGGTTTGAGCTGCTGGAGAATGGCACCTCCATCCTGGGCTGCCCAAAGTCTCCTCACAGGGAGCCCACATGTCACTCAGACTGGCAAAGCCTCTCTGAGGCTCAGGCCGGGCTTTATCCTGGCTCTGATGTGTTGTGGTGTCACTTCTGGTTTCCAGAGCACCGCAGGGGAGGTGACAGACTTCCTGAGCTTCTACACGCTACCCTCCACCATCATGAACCACCCAACCCACAAGAGCCTGAAAGCTGCTTACTCCTTCTACAATGTTCACACAAAGACGCCTCTCATCGACCTCATGAGTGATGCTCTCATCCTGGCCAAGTTGGTGAGTGATGGCTCATCTGGCTGCTCTTGGGCTGGCCATGGGGCAAGGCTTATACCCAGGGCTGTACAGACCCAAATCCCAAAGGATCTGCCACCCAGGAGAGGGATGCTTGGATAGCCTGAACCTTCCAGCTAGTGGTGAGCTGAGCTCAGGGTATCTACTCATTTCTTACAGCAAATGATATTGCTGTACATCCACAGCACTTGAATTGAGGGTGGAATGCTAAATTATTTCTTGGTGGCCTCAGTCCCTTCTTCTGGGGGTACAAAGCTGGACAGGAGTGTGGTCAGGCAGCTCATGGATGGGAGGAATTCATCTGTGTAAGCAGGAGGAACTGATAGCTTTGTGTCTTGTCTTTGTTAATCTTCTCTTGCAGAAAGGATTTGACGTCTTCAATGCACTGGATCTCATGGAAAACAAAACCTTCCTGGAGAAGCTGAAGTTTGGGATTGGGGACGGGAACCTGCAGTATTACCTGTACAATTGGAAGTGTCCCAGCATGGCACCGGAGAAGGTCAGTGCCTTGGGGTGGTGAAGTCCTCCAGCCCAGCCAGTGCACAGGAAGGGCTCGTCCCCTCAACCCTCTGCTCTAGAGAGAACAGACGAGTGTGATGGTTGTTGAGTCAGTGTTAGCAAGACCCTGTGCCAGTGGGGAGCTCTACTTACAGCATGTGCAAAAGAGCTGCCTGTGGCTCCAGCAGATCAGAGCTCGGGATTAGCCACCAGTATGTCCTGTCATGCAGCAGCCGGAGAGCACCCAGCAGTGGTGACTGCCTGTAGAGCGACCTGGCCTGATAATCAAGCTCTTGGGAAGCAGCTTCTCCCAAATCTGTGGCTATTAGCTTAGAAACAACCTTGGCAGGTAAATCAAGTCTGTCTTGCAGACTGCTGGACCCCAAATATCAGTCACCTCCCCAGCTGGAGTTGGGCAGGGTGTGAATGCCCGTTTGGCCACGAGTCCAGGGCTTTTGCTGCTCTCAAATCATACAATCCCAGACTAGTTTGGGTTGGAAGGGACCTTAAAGCGCTTCCAGTCCTGACCCCTTGCCACGCGCAGGGACACCTTCCGCTAGAGCAGGTTGCTCCAGGCCGCTCTGTCCAACCTGGCCTTGAACACTGCCAGGGATGGGGCAGCCACAACTTCTCTGGGCACCCTGTGCCAGCACCTCAGCACCCTCACATGGAAGAGCTTCTGTCTAATAGCTCATCTCAGTCTCCACTCTGGCAGGTTAAAGCCATTCCTGCCTTGCCCAAAGTCCCTCTCTTGTAGCCCCTTTAGGTGCTGGGAGCTTCTCTAAGGTCTCTCTGTAAGGAGCCTTCTTTTCTGCAGCCCAGCTCTCTCAGCCTGTCTCCAGAGCAGAGCTGCTCCACCCCTTGCAGTATCTGTGGCCTCCTCTGGACTCGCTCCAACAGCTTCACATTCCTCTTGTGTTGTTGCCCCAGAGCTGGATCAGGACTGCGGGGGCAGATCTCCCCACAGCGCAGCAGAGAGGGAGAATCTCCTCCTTTGACCTGCTGTTCTGGGAGTGCAGCTCAGCATAATATTCCAAACTTGGAGAAACCCATATGGGCAACACTGAGCCTCCCAGCCAGGGCCTGTGAGCTGTGTCGATGGGGGGCAGAGGACGCTGGTGCTGGGGCACATCCTGACCTCCCATTTCTGTTGGCTCCCCAGGTCGGACTGGTGTTGCAGTAGGTGAACCCTGGCCAGGAGAGTGCGGCGCTGCCAAGGAGCCAGTCCCAGCGGCCTCATCCTTTCTGCTGGAGCCGGACCCACACCGGGAGCGGTGGCACTGACCCTGTCACCTACTGCCTGGAGTCACTGTCCTGCCAGCACCAGCCATCTCCTTTGTGTTGATTTAATTGCATCCTTGTAAAGACATGATCAAAGGAATGTAACTGCTGAAACTAGCTCATGATTGGCGTATAATGGAGTTAACGGGTGAATAATAAAAGTATATATTATAGATATTTTAGATCTTTCCTGTTCCCACCTGCCATGAGTTGCATTCATCTGCTGAAGGCCACCTCTGGGGTGCTGCACCGTGACTTTTCTCCACCAAGGTAGACACTTGCTGCGCTGAGCAGCCTGGTGCTAGAGTGCTAGAGCACCGGGATGCAGTGGCCAGGCTCCCGAGCCCTCCTGCCTGCCTGGAGGGGGCTTTGAGCTCTGTCCCCTACTTGGCTGTTTTCCCCAGGGTTGCTCCATCCTTTGTTAAACTCGGTACTCCCCATGGATGCCTGGAGAGGGAGGATGGCACCATCCCTCCACGCAGGTGTGGGAGCGTCTCCAAGTTTCTTTCTAAGGGCTATTTGTGCAAGCAATGCCTTGTCCCTTCTCCTCCCCAGCCTCGGAGACCTGAACCCTCTCTGTTCAACGGGTCAAGTGCTGAACTGAGGAGCAGCAACACCAGAAGCTGCGGTGGGACTCAGCTCCTCGCTGCCTCTGGAGCTCATCTGGCGCACCCCACTCTGCTCAGACTCCTGGGGGCTCATTCTCTGCACCACTCCCCATAACGCTGAGGCTGCAGGCATCAGAGGGATGCTCCATCACTGCTACCACACCTCAGGGCTCTCTGCTCAGCTGCTTTTCTTTGGAAGCATGGAAATATGGATACACATGCAAGCGACTGCCCTGCCAATGCACAATTGGCGTCACCCTGGGCTTCAGCCTCTCCAGCCACCCCAGTAGCTCTTCCACCAGGCTCATTACCTTGTGTTACGGGAACCTCCAAGGTAAAGGAGATGTTTTCTTTCATGGAAAAGCTTTATCCCATCAAGATACCTTGGGAAACAAGAACCCACGCAGCGTGCCACTTGCTGCCATTACATGAACTGTGTCCATGAAGGGCACCAAGATGCTTCTGCCCTCCCAGCCAAAGGTTTCTAAGCTGCACACCAAGGCCAAGACCCATCTATGCATTCCCTGTCCCTCTGTGTCCCCATCCTGCTCTATGGCACACCACGGACACCAAGGGCCTTTGCCCACCCAGCCTGGACCTGCAGGGCCTTGGTGGGGAACCAGGAGCCCATCATGTCCCTGCGGCAACCCCATTGCATCCCCTCTGCTCTGGAACCTGTGTCACCTATGCAAGTACCTCTGTCCCCTCCTGTCTCCCTGGTGTCCTGGGCTGGGGGAGGCTGGGTGTGGGTGAGGAGTATCCCCTTCTCCCCTCGGCAGGTTTGGGAGCTGTTCCAATGAGCATCCACGGGTGCTGGGCAGCTCCTTGGGCAGTGCTGTATATGGGGTGGCCTCAGCTGTTTTTCCCCACTCCAGCCCAAAAGGCCCTGGGAGGTGACAGGGACACTGGGACAGGCTCTGTTAAAATAAAACCTTTATTTGACTGGCTTAACAGCGGGTTGTAAATCTGTGACTGTCACTGGTGCTGGAGAACAACCCCTAGCCAAGTCATAGGCATAGTAGGGCATGTGATGGCAGGGTCCCCTCAGGGACTGAATGGTGGCCTTGGGGACCTCGTGATGATGGCACCGTCCTTGTAGACCAAGTTGGGGCTGAGATCAAGCACATCCAGGGCTTGGTGACATTTCGGGCTTGCTGTCACCCATCTCACTAGCCTTTACCCCCAGGGGCTGTTCTGGGCTTTCAATGGCCTGGCCACCCTGTCGTGATTGTCACAGCATCTCTATCCACTCAGGGTCATAGCCAGGGAGGGGAGGAGCAGGGCACATGGGCTAGCAGATGGAGTGGCATTAGGGGACATGGAGGGGCTCCCCTACCCCCTTTGGGTCCTGGGGTGGCACAGGGGACATGGAGGGCGTCCCCTATGTTCTTGGGTCCTGGGGTGGCAACACAGGATATGGAGGGGGTTCCCTCCCACCCCATGGCCAGACAAGTGACACTCCTAGGCTGTCCCCATACAGGAAGTGGGATGTCTGTAGCACAGGATGGTGCCCACCCCATGGGGGAGCAGTTTGTCCCCCACACAGGGACACAATGTCCCTCCAGCTGGGATCTCACAGGCTCTTACATCGAATGTGAACGAAGAGCGTGGCAGGAGACAGGGACATGCCATCCTTGGAGAGCAGATGGATGTGCCAATTCTCTGGGGACAAAGGCAGGGGCTGAGGGGGTGGAAGGGGCCCGTCCCCACCCCCAGGGGGCAGCAGGAGGGCACCCACTTTCCTGCAGGCTGGCCATGAGCAGGGTGGACTGCCCCATGAAGTCATTGCAGGAGGTGCTGTTGTGGTCCTCCATGAAGCGCAGCAGCTCCAGGTCTGGTCCCCACAGCTCGAAGCTCAGCGTCTTCTCAGTGCAGATCGAAACTTACAGATGGGAGGTGGTGTTGCTACCATGGCCACCCTGGCCACCAGAGCCACCCCAGATGCAGGGACCAGTTTGACCCATCAGAGCACTCACCCTTGCCTCAGTTTATCTGCCATCCTGCACTGGGGTATAAGGGGACTGGGGCAGACTGGGGGAACAGGGGTGATACTTGTGCTGAGCTGGGCTATACTGGGGAGAGGAGGTCATACTGGGGTTGTGATGGGTTATACTGGGAGAATGAAGGTCACACTAGGACTGGGCTATACTGGGGGAATGGGGTGCTGGTGTTGGATGAACTGTGAGGAAGTAAGATTAATTGCGCAGTACGTTCCCCAGCAGGCACTGTACAGAGGTTGTAGGTGTCCATACCATAATTTTAATTTCCCCTGTGTAATCTGAGTCAGTCACCCCTGGGAGAATGAACAAGCCTGTTCTGGAACTGGAGGATCTACCAATTAGCAAGGCGAACAGACCATCAGGCAATGGCCCAAACACTCCTGTGGATATCAAACATACACTCTAATCTATGATTGTTGTACACTGGCTTGTAGCCAGGTCCAACCCAGCGCTTCCTGTCGTGGCATGATAGTGGTCCCAGATTGCATTCCATTTGGGACGCATTATCTCACAGACTGGCTAAACAAGCCGGGGGTTGTGGGCTTTGCCAGGTGGCCCTGTTGGTTGTTCTCAGGGCACCAGACCTTGTGCCCCTCCAGCTGTTTCCTGGTCTGGCAGAGTATTACCAAATTTGTCAAACTTTGAGCAACACTGGTTGCCCCAGTGACATCCCTTTTGGCATCGACGACAGAGTTGAGTGGGAGCTCTGCCCTGAGCTCCATCTCTTAAACTCCTACCTCTTCCATTCTGATGGGGGGCAGTCCTTCTTGATATGTCCCTCCTGTCCACAGAGAAAACATTCCACTGCTGCCTTAGCAACAGTCAGCTGCTGGGTTAGAGCTGCTGCCAACAGCTCAGCTTTATGCTGCTCTGACCCAACATTCTGACAGGCTTTTATGAGGGCAGCCACAGTTTTAACTTGATTCCGTAATGGAGCTATTGCTCGCTTACAATTGGCATTACCATTTTCAATAGCAAGTTGAAAAAATAACAAGTTGGCTGCCTCAGGAGAATCAATCTGCTGCTGTATGGCTGTTTGCAACCAATCAAAGAATTGCACATAGGGTTCTTGTGCCCCTTGTCAGATCTTCCTTTTACTCAAATCTGGCAGCCTATGGAGCACCCCAATGGCAAGATCTGCTGCTTGGGTAAAAACATCATGGTTTAAAGCCACTTGAGCTGCTCCTGTTGCATACTGGCGCTCCCCCAACAACTCTGCCTGCCCAACTGCCACACCATTCTTTAGATTATCCATTGATTGTGCTACTACTCAATCATGATATTCAGTTGACTATACTGAGTGTTGTGCTGCCGACAGCACATGGCGCAGAAGAGATTTCCAGTCTAAGGGAGTCATGGTGTATGATTCTCCTATGCCTTGCAGCAAATTCATCAAGATGCTTGCAAACCATATTCTTTCACAGATTTCTGCACTTCTTTCACCACATCACAAGGTAAGTGTCCAAACTCAGGAGTTTGATTGGGTCTGCAGATGCTTGGCATGGCTTGCAAAAGCTGCAGTTCACTGTGCTGTAATGCCTCCTCTCTACATTTGTTCAAAAGACCAGCACCATGTTCCTTTTCCCATTACAGCAGAGGGGCAGCTGGTGGTGGTCGTGCCACGGAGGACTGGGACAAGTGTTTATGTTGCTGTTGCAGGATTTCATCAGCAGTGGGGGCCATAGCAGCCAAAACTTTCACAGGTGTCAGTGGTGGGTATAGATCAGGTTCTGTCCCTGGGTCAATCAGTCCAGGATCAAAGGGATCCTATGATTCATCAGAATTTTCCACCAGTGGGGGAGCTGGGCCTGCGTCAGGGCCAAGCAGTTCAAAAGACTGCAGCCCCCCTGCCACTTCTGCCATATCAGGCTTAGAAGCTGCCACATTCTGCAATACCTGCTCCGCTGGCTGCAAAGCTCACAAGGCTGAATAAACCAAGTGCCAAGTCAATAAATGTCCCATTAAGGAGTCAGGCTTTGCTGTCTGGGCTGTCTGCAACTCTTCTCCCACTCACTGCAACAGAGTCAAATCATAAGAGCTGGTTGGTGGAAACCAGGGGCAATGATCTCTGATTCACATCAATAGTCTAAGTCTAGCTGGGCTACCTTCAAGTCCTGTCTTTGCAGAATGCACTGCAGCAAATTGTTATGGAGGTGTTGCTCCTTTGTTGCCCCTTGACCCATATTTAGAATCAATACCTCAGACTATCTACCCACGACTGCTCACCTTAGCTGTCCAGCGACTGGTGATGAATCTTATGAGGATCCTCTACTTCAGCTTGTTCCCTCCATCCAGCCAAATGGGGTACACCACCGGGCTTCTGCAGCTACCATCGGTCTGCAATTCTCTTCACATCTTCATTTCCCTGTTTGGGTGCCCTTTGTGGTGTATGGAGACACAGACTCTGAGAATGGAGGTACAGAATTGTTTATTTAGCACACACCAGATGATTATATACTTTAGTCTTTCAAGGGCATTACAGCACATAACCAATTAAAGACTGCCACACATACTTTCATGTAAAGGTCACCCAATCACCATTTTCAACCACCGCTTCCTTATTATTGCCTCTAG